TGAGGCCCCCATGCTCAAGCGTCCCACAATTCCCCTTCAACTCACTCCTTCAGTTAAGCCTTTCATGGGTGGTCCACCACTGAGGGCTTCCTCCTCCGAGCAAAGTCGGCAGGGGAGTGGGTGCAAAGGGCAGGAGGCAACGAAGGAATGGGATAGAAGGGGGATGAGGGAACAGTGAACAGGGAAGGCAGAGTGTAGGAAAAACACAAAGAGAAAGAGAAGGAAAAACACTGTGAGTGAGAGAAGTCATGCCAACCTGAATATTTGCATCCCATTTTTCTTATCCGCATGGTTACACTGGTCTTGTGAAGGACACTCAGCATTTTAGACAAAGCCTAGGAGCCTTAAGTGCCTGACATCCTCAAAAAGGACCACAGGAAGTTCTTTTCACCCTCACTGGTTCATTTCACCTGTGACCAAGAATTTATGGGGAAATATACTTTCATTAAGTGTATCTGCTCTTTACAATGTTCTTACGTTCTATGCATTCGACAGTGGAGCTCAAGGCAGGTGGCCAGAAGTGGGGAGGGAAGGACTGGGGCCCAGCTCAGCCACAATGAAGCAGGTGGTTTGGTCCCTTCCCACCTCTGTCCTCCAGCAGGCTTCTCTCCTGTGGAATAGGGCTATTATCCTCCGTTCTCTCAAAGACAGAGGGAAGACAACTTTCAGGACGTGCCTTATGGACTTGGAATCCACTGGAGGGCAGGCACTCCTGATATGTATATGGGGGGGCATGAAATTTTATTTTATTTTATTTATTTTTTAAGATTTTATTTATTTATTTGACAGAGATCACAAGTAGACAGAGAGAGAGAGAGGGGGAAGCAGTCTCCCCACTGTGCAGAGAGCCTGATGCGGGGCTCAATCCCAGGACCCCGGGATCATGACCTGAGCCAAAGGCAGAGGCTTAACCCACTGAGCCACCCAGGCGCCCCATAATTTTAAATACGGTATCCCAAAAACATTGGGAAATGTAGAACATACATTCTCTTGGTTACTCATCTAAAGAAAAGGAAGTTCACTGGCTCACTCACCCTATCTATCTATCTATCTATCTATCTTCTCTATCTAATCTCTTTCCATTCATTCATTGATCTTTCCATCTGTCCATCCATCTTTCTTCCTACTTGTTGCTAAAGGACGGGAGAGGGAGAACACAACTGTACAAGCTTCATGAGGCATTTTCTTCTGCGGGCCAACCATGATCTCTCATATCCTAAAAAAAATGATCTCACCAACTGAAAAGCAACATTATTCTCCACTCTGTCAAGTTTTCTCAACGTTTCCAAGATTCTTCACAATTTTCCTCTCCCAGAGACATCAAAACACCACCGCAGACAGGCAGATGGGGACATTCTCTGAGGGTTTTTTTTTTTTTTTTTTGGGTTCTTCACTTCCATTTAAAATAGTCATCAGGTTAAATAAGAAAAAGCAAAAAGGCTCTAGCAGAAAGACTTCCCTTAAATCTGTGTCAACAGAGACTTTATTTTTTTTAAAAAGAGTGTGCTATATAAATACATCTAACCCCAGCCTTGCCGAGAGCTGTCCACTGCTGCCCTTCCTCTGGAGTCTCCGCCCCAGCTGTGTCTGCGAGCGTCTGGTAGTGGGCTTGGTGGGCATCGGGTTAAAACATCCCTCCTTGGCCATCAGCACACAGGCAGAGCCCGGGCTCTTGCCAGGTGTTCCCATTCTTCCAGGGAATTTCAGAGATTGCAGGAAGTTTAAGGAACACATCGGATGTTGCAAGTGGCCATGTTTTCCACACAGCCTCCCAACAAACATCTGTTTGAAAGCCGCTGCAGATGTGGACATCCAAGCATGGTCAGGCCCGACCTCTCCCAGAAGCAGGAGCCACAAGGGCAAGGCCCAGAGCGAGAGAGCACAGGGAGGCCAGAGATACCAGGAGGGGCCCTGCCTCCAGAATTTTCTCCCCAGTGGCTACTGTGGGAACAGAAATTCTACCATGGGTCAGGTATTCCTCTGGGGTAAAGCTTCATGGCATCTTTGGACACTCCTCCTATGAGAAGAGCCTACCTCACGAGGAGGAGTCTCCAAAGAGGATCCGGCTGTAGGCCGCGGGAGGCCACAACGGTCTGGGAGGCGGGCAGCATGGGCCAGCCAGACCCGCGCCCCATCCACGGGGCTTGGAGTATGCAAGAGTCCGTCCACCTAATTCCCTCCCCTTCCTGCCCTCCACGACCCAAAGAGATTCATTTCCCTTGGAAATGGTCCAGTCTAGTCTGAGCCCGTCCCCCCTCCCGGCCACTCCAGGGGATGATACTGCTAAGTGTACGATAAAGGCGGTTGAAACTAACACCCCCTCAGACAAGGCACCCGCTCCGTGCAATCACCTGTAGACCCCCGGTCACCCACCCCCGCCTCAGTTTCTGTACTGCTTAAGGCTGTTCTTCTGGATGGCGGCCACCTTTTCTGGCACATGTTGATATCAGTGACAGTGGCTTCTCTGCCCTGCCAATCAGCTCCCTGGCCCTCCTCTTGATCTCCTCCGCTCAACACCTCCACGCTCGTGCCCAGCCTTTCACTGTCAGCTGTTGTACCTCCTGCCCTGGACTCCAAACGCTCACTCCTGGGCACTCCCTTTTGCTGTTCACTCCTGCAGGACTCTAGCCACTCACCAACTCCCTGGGACCCCCAGTCCACTGACCCACCACCCTTCAGCAGCTATCTCTGCCTTGGGTCCTAACTCCTGTCCTCACCTGGCTCAGTGTCAGGGAATGCACTGTCCTGACTCCTTCCATCCCTGCCCCCCGCCCTTCTTTCCCTCCAGCGTCACTGCCCAGAGAAACCTCAGCCCCAGTTAAATTCAGTTCTGTAACTCTGCACCTGTACCTGCGCCATCGCGGCTGAAAATAGCTGGAGAAACTCACGGCTATGTTGCACAATGGGGGAGTCATTCTGGAAGCAAGGCTACAAGCCTGGAAAAGCCCCCCTCTGTGATCGTGGGTGAGCCGCTGGGGACCTGAGCCAAGGTCAAGCCTTCTCCTCTACTCAAGGCCACAGCTCCACAGAGCCTTCCCTCTGCCCCAGACCACTCCCATCCATGCACGACATATTGTAGATGCTCCCGTTTTGACCTCGCTTCCCGAAATACCAGATCTTTCCCCTTTACAGAGACACCCCTGTAATACATAGAGGATCCATATTACCCTCCCCGTCTGCAACCCATCTCCTGAACGTTAGCCCCTGCCCCTTGATGGGCACCTCTCTAGGCAGGGTCCCCTCATGAGCCCCCATAGCTTGTCAGGTCCTTCTCGGTCTTCCTCTTCCATGGCCCAGCAGCTGCTGTGGACACAGCTAACCTGCCCCCCATCTCCTTGAACACATCCTCGCTGGGGCTCCCAGCACTCCATCCCACCTGGTTTTCCTTCCGCCTCCCTCCTGGTCTCTGATGGGTCCCTCCTCCCAACCTGGCCTGCTCAGTGCCAGCAGACCCCCCCCGGTTCGGCGCCTGCACTTGTTATCAACGTGACCCCCTTTTCTCCCTGACTCATCCCCTCTGGCTCTCCCTTTTGCTCTGCACCTTGGTCGCCTTGCTGCCCCTGGATACTCCTCTAGCTGTGCCTTTGCTAGCCCCTCACCTACTTCAGTGACATCTTCCCTTATATTCCTACTTAAAACTACAAACCCCTCCTCGTGCTCATCACTCCCTATTTTGTTTTCTTAATTTATTTTTCTGCACAGCAATTGTTACCCATCCCTAGAATGTAAGGCCCATGAGGTCAGAACTTTATGCCTCTTTTGCTTGCCCGCAGATACCCAGCCCCAGAATGGTGTCGGACACATGGGAGATGCTAGATACATGCTTGTAGAGCAACTTTAGAACTTTAAAGACACAGAGGAAAGCATCACTTCTCTCTCAGCACCAGTTTTTCTCTTCCCTGCCCTTGTGGGGTAAGGTGTAGGATCATTATGGCTTCCAAATGTCCCAGGTTGACCCCCGGTCACGAGTTCCGGGTTTCCTCTGGCTTTCTGAATGGCCAGAGGGTCTGGGTCTTCTGCCCATCCAGACAGTGAGCCCGCTAGTTGCACTCTGGCTTTTTCTCCAAAGCAGGGTACCCAGGTGGTCCCCCTCTATTGGTCAGAGGAGACCCGGCTTGAGGTAGGACAACAAGAGCAAGACGTGAACACCCAAGATCCAGATCCTAAACAGGAGAAGAAATGCATCCTGTGTCTCCTTGTGCAGAAAACACCCTGCTTTTCCGTAGCTTTTACCTTCTAATATTCCTGAGGCAACAGGATAATCCCTATTCACCCACTAAGAAAATCAAGACTCAGAGAAGCTGAGAGGTTTGCCCGAAGTCATACACCAGACAGCTAGAAGGACCTTTGGAACCAACTCTTGAAGCAATATCTCCTGGGGATTTGCAGTATTAAGGAAAGATGCATCACCACAACCCCTAATGGGGTCACACTTTACTCTTGAGAACTTGAGGTTTCCAAATCTTGGCCCACAGTCAGCAAGTCTGTTTTCCACCCAAGCCCAGGGCTGCTGCAGACTAGCCCATGGCCAGATGACACTCTGCTCAGAATGCCTCGGGCACCTATGTAGGGCCGGCACACAGAGCCCCCCATGAGTGCCTGAGACCAGCTCTTTGGCTGCCAACAACGGCCTGTATTTGAAATCAGAGAAAATGTTCCCAAGTTACAGCCTTTTGTGATGTGCATGCTGGAGAAGCCACAATCTCCAGATGTCTCCTAGAACACAAGCTTGTGGAGGACAAGGAACTGTGCCTAGCACATAGCAGGCTCTCAATAAATCTGTGTCCAATGAATTTTGAGTCTGGCCGGGCCCCAGCGGCCCAGTGGGGTAGGATGGAGGTGCAGTGGAGCCGAGGGACTCCCTGCCTGGATCCCAGGCTCTGCCACCTGGGGCCAGCCGTGCCTCAGCAATCAAGGGCCAGGCTAGATGCTCCCTGGATTTAGGGTTCCCCACCCCCTGCACTGGACCCTGCACCTGCCCAGGCCCCACCGGCACTCACCTGGGAGATGTGCGACTGCGTCTGCTCGCTCTCGCCGTCCCCCTCCGTCTTGTCGGCCAGCAGCCCCTGCACCTGGTACTCGAGCACGTAGCTGTCAATGAAGCGCTCCAGCTCCTCGATCTCCTGGGAGCGGCTGCTCCCAGCCTCGGATGAGGCGGACGCAGCGGAGGAGTTCTCCATCCCTCCAGCTTAGGGGCTGCGCGGGGGGCGGGTGCTGCAGGAGACAGAAGAGCGCACGGGGTGAGACGCAGCTGGAGGGAGGTGCGGATGACGCCCAGTTGAGAACCACTCCCCAGGGCGCTCCTGGGATGTCCTCTCCTCCATCCCAGCCTTCCAGCCTCCCAGCAACCCACAGATGTCAGTGGCGCACCAGCTTGCCTGCAGGGTGAAGACTGTGGTACAACGTGGAGGGAAGCTGAGGCCCAGAGTAGGCAGGCAGCGCGCCTAAGGGGCCCACGCAGTACTTGTGCAGCGTTGGGCATTCGCCCACACCTGGGCCTTACCACCTGGGGTTCTGTAGGAGGCAGACCCAGCCTTCCCACCAGGCCCCGCTTCCCCACCTGGGGTTAGCCAAGTCTACCACAAAACAGAAAGAAACAGACCACAGGCTTTGACAGCCCGGACCTAAGCACGGGGACATACCAGGGTCTCCAGACACAAACCCCCTACGGGGCCTCCTTCTAAAGAAATGCTTTCTCTTGGGACACCACACAGCCCCCTAAATCAGGTGAAGCCTGCAGACCTTGATGGTCTACATATAACTTTGCAGCCTTGTTATGCTGCGGCTCCTCAGGACACACTACGCTTGGTCACGGAAGGACATGACTGGTTTTTAATGACAGAGTATGAAGAGTCTGGGAGAGCATGGGCCAGCCAATGGCGCCATCTGGTCAGCCCTCATAGGCACGTGGCTCTCCCATGAGCCCTCAGGCCCTCTCTCCATGCTGGCCTGGCATAACGTGGCTGGCATTCCAGGGTTACCCGCTGATGGCCACCCACAGAATCGCCATCCTTCCCTGACCGGACTGGGTCAACCCAGCCATCGCAGGAGCCCACTCCTATCCCTCAAAGCCCCCACTGGACCCTACCTTGAAGTGGGGAGAACTGGAACCCTTCTCACCTCTAGGTCCTTTCCCATCAGAGACCCTCCCCTTCCTTCTGACAGGCTCTAGGCTAGATGGGAAGTGGTTTCAAGGCTTATCTGGTGTCCCTTACATCATCAGAAAATGGCTGCTTTCCCTGGGGGACTGCATTCAAGCAGGAGAAAGCCCAGCCTGCGTGGGGTTTCATCATCAGAACGAGTAGAGTGGTCTACCAAACAACCCCCAGCAGATACACAAGGAGCGCACAGGGCTCTGGGACCACAAGGGACTGCATGTATCCAGGAAGTGACTGTGCATAATAAAGGTAAGGTACTCAAATATTGAAAGGAGCATTTGAATTTCAAGACCTTAGATTACTGAGATCTTTTTGGGAACATAGCTATTCACCAGCTATCAAGGGTTTGTTGAGTTTTCAACTGTAATGGATCCAGAAGAGGGCACTGGGCTCCGGAAATGCTGCTGAGACCATGAATATGGACTCCCCAGGACCATCTCCTGGCTTTTCTGAAGTTGGTGCTGGTGGTGGGGAAGAAGAGCTGCCCAGGGGGACACACACATTCCTCAACTGATTTCCTGGCTCATATTTTGGCATTCGGCTGCGTTTCCCAGCCTCCACAGGGCGCCAGGTCTGTTGCCGAGAAACCGTGTGGTGCTGATTCTGGGTTCCTGAGCTCTGCAGCCCCGGGGCTCCTGGGTATGTCCACCTGACCCAGAAGGAAGAGTCCAAAGTTTCGGTCCTGGGTGCCCTCCTCAGAGGGTGGTGGCGGGTCTACAGGGAGTTGGCTCGGACTGGGGAGAAGCACGCCGAGTGGTGTAGCGCCATGAGGGGAGGTGAAGGTGGGGATGTCCCTGGAGGCCCCTTCATCCACCTGCCATTCAAGGCCTACAGCAGGCTTACAGCCTTCCCACCAGGGCCTACCACCAAGGCCCACCTTACCCCTCCTGCTCCAAAGGTTGCCCACGACCCCCTCCTACCCTACTTCTTCTCCTGGCCACATGCCACATGTGGTAGGCAGAACCCTAAGAAGGTTCTGGGTGTACACCTTCTCCCAGTTACTCAATCAAACACTAATCTAGCTACTCCTAGGAAGGGATTTTACAAATATAATTAAATTCCCAATCAGCAAACCTTAAAATGACTATTCAGGAAGGCCTCATGCAGTGCCATGAGATCCTTAAAACTGGGACGGGAGGTAGAGACAGAGATTCAAAGCATGAGAAAGGTTGCTGGTTTGAAGAAGGAGCGGGTGCAAAGAAAGCACACAGCATCCCGGGATCAAGAGAAGAAATCCCTGGTCAATGACCAGCAAGGAGAAGGGCACCCCAGTCCTACAACCGCAAGCAAGTGATTTCTGCCAGCAATCGATGAGCCTGGGAGCAGACTTGGCCCGCCAGTCTCCAAATGAGAACTCCGCCTGGCTGACACTTGGGGTTGTCTCATGACTTACTGAGCGGGCCTTCTGACTTTTAGAACTGTGAGATAATAAGCAGGTATTGGTTTAAGTTGCCAAGTTTGTAGCAGTTTGTTACAAGGTCATAGAAAACGAACATGTGATGCTCTCTTGGCCTCTGCTTTTGCTCACACTGTGCCCCTCACCCAGAGACATGTTCCCTTCCCTCTGCCTACAAAATCTAGACGTCCTTACACTCACACAATGTTAGAACAATGTCTCAGAGGCCATCTGGCAACCAGCACAAGCCCCTGCTCTCAGACTGGGCTACTGGACAAAGGCTCCACCCCACCTTGGCCCATGGGCATGGATACTCTGATTTCTAATAACAGGAATGGCTCACGTGCCCTGGGCCCATATCATGTGCCAGCCACTGTTCTCAGCAATTTACATGCCTTTTGCCACTTACCCCTCATGATAACACCATGAAACTGGTATAAATACACTACTTAGAAGTGAAAACTGAGGTTCAGAGAGGTTAGGTAACTGGCTCAAGTTTGCACAGCACAGGTCCAGGCGCCCCTACCCCCCACTGCCTCTTCATCCCACCTCCTGGCAGCCTGCTCAGGCCCTCAGGATGTCTCCCACTTCCCATTCTCCACTACCCTTCAAAGCCCAGTGGATGCTTCAAGCAGGGTGTGTGCCTCTTACTCCCCACCAGGCTACAGGCTCTAGCGGGCTGGGCTCTGTGCCTAGCTCTCTGTCCGGCGCTGGGCAGATGGCCGGCCTCCGGGGGGTAGGGGAGATAAGGCTGATGTCCAGAGAGGGTTGAAAAAGGAGCTGCCCACAGGAAAAGCCAGTGTCTAAGGCCATGCCCATTATTCCTCGAAGACTTAAGATCTTATCAAGGGCCTCCTGGCATACTTTCCAGGGACAGGTGGAGGACTGGGCTTTGCAAGAACTAGACAGGAGTGTTTCCAGGAGGATCAAGGGCCTGGTTCTGCCTGCAGTGGCAGCCGCTCCGGCCTGCTCTGCTGGGCTCTCCCAGGCTCCCGCAGGCCCCACACCAGGTCACACCACAGTCCTGTGAGGGATCCTGGGATCCATGATCACTGCAGAAAGGGACAGGCCATGAGACCCATTCCCAGTCTGCCCAAGTTGGGTGCCCAGAGGGAAACAGAGGACTCCCCCAGTGGTCACTTTTGGATGCCTTGTGTGTCCTCACATCCTCGTGGTGGCCCTCCTGTTCCCATCAGAGTCACACGGTGAGGCCGACAGCATCTCCCCTCAGCTGCCCCGAACACATCTGCCCAGGGTTCCTCGGACACACTCTGGCAGAAACCAGCAGGGCCCCCCTGGAGCCTGGCCCCTGTGCCCTGGCAGAGGGCGAGGCGCTAACGGCTCCTGGGGCGGCCCCCCGACAGACACTCCCTCCTCGGTCTCTCACAACCACCAAGGTGTGTTCTTCGTGGTCCCTCAGCAGGTCCCAGGGCACGGAGCCCAGCTGCCCACAGTGGGGACCAGATCCATAACACCCCTTTGCTGGGCCCTCCTTCCTCCTGTGTCACTCTCCCCAGGGACGACCGTTCTCATCCGTCCAGGAACTCTACTTCCCGAGAGGGAACCAGGCTAACATATCCCCTGGGCTCATCTGTACATTCCAGAATGAGTCCCAACCAGGGCACTTTACCTCCTTAGCAGAGAAGAAGGAGGAGGGAGTGGGAAGGGGGTGCTGTCCACCTTCTCCGTCTCCTCAGCTCTCGGGATAAAGCGCTCAGTCAGACACCCACACTCCATTTTTTTTAAATGGTGGTAAAATACACATAACATAAACGTACCACTGTAACCATTTTTAAGCGCACAGTTCTGTGGCATTAAGTGTATTCACAATGTTGGAGAAGCATCATCGCTGTATTTCCAGAACTCTCCAGCATCCCAAGCAGAAACTCTGTGCCTATTCAACTCCAACTCCCACTCCCCTCATCTCAGGCCCTGGCAACCGCTGCTTTCCCTTCTGGCTCCTCAGATCTGTCTGTTCTGAGGACCTCACAGACGCGGAATCATACAACATTTATTCTTTTGTGACTGGTTTCTTTCGCTTAGGATAATGTTTTCCAGATTCATTCATGGGGGAGCACGTGTCAGAATTCCACATCCTACGTCGTATTACAGTAACATAGTGTTCACGGAGACCCCGTTTTGTATATCCGTCATGCATCCAGGGACATGTGGGCTGTGTCTGCTTGCGGCTCTTGTGAGTAGTGCTGCTGGCAACACAGGGGTAACATCCGAGTCCCTGTTTTTGATTCTTTGGGGTGAGTACCTAGAAGCTCTGCTCTATTTTTAAGGTAAAAGGAATGAGGATGTACAGGGTGAATGAATCCTCAGGCCAGGGGAAGGCCAGGGAAATACAGGAATGCTCTCTCAAGGGCTTATGGTGCTCCCCTCCCACCTGTGTTTCGGGGTCCCCTCCTGGCTCGGTTTCCCATTCACAGCAAATTCCGGATGGGAAATTGCCCAGATGCTGGGCTGCTGGCTAAGCTGAGAGAGCCAGCAAGAGGAGCTTATGTTTTCAGGATCCCAGTGGACGTGGGGGGCGGACGCAGAGGAAGAAGGAAGGAGAGGGTGGACGAGAAGAGACACCTCCAGCGGCAGCCATCCAGAATGCGGAGGAACACGCCAGTCCAGGCCGATGCAGCCAGCCCGCCAGC